CCAATAACCCCCTACATTTCCGATTCTTTTCCTCTTCCAAAAGATTTCAAACCTAATTTCTCTCTTACTTACTAAATCACCCAAATCTCTTTCTTTATGATCCCCCTACATTTCCGATTCTTTTCCTTTTCCAAGGATTTGCAATCTCAATTTCTCTCTTTCTTACTAATCACCGAAAGATCTCTCTTTCTTTTTTTATACAATGCAGATGTAAATTGCTATATTACAGTAGAATCAAGCTATGGGTAAGTTTTGAATCTAGTGTTCCTTTTTTATTTTTTTCTAATTTTCAAGCTTTACTCTGCATTAATAATGGCTATATTTATACAAATAGCTAGCCATATTTATAATTTATTTTTCTATCCGTATATATATATATATATATATATATATATATATATAAAATATACCGTCTATTTTTAGTTTAAGCAGTTGAAAAAGCGACTATTTAGGTTAATTCTTCTTTGAAATATATGTACCATGAAGTAGGAGAAAATTGTTCAGAAATTACCAGCTATGTCCATTTATAGGTAGCTCATTACAAAAATTGGTCAATTGATAAAATATTACTAATATTAGCCAAATAGCTATTTGTAGCAAAAAAATATCAAATTTTGGCTTTGTTTTGAGTGGGTGTTATTAGAATAGATTGAGAACAACTTAAGGAGTTTGAATCTCAGTTTTGGGATGATTTGGTGAAGTTTTGAGGTTGTTTGAATTGAAAATTCGGTAAAAACTGAACATGAAAAAAATGATATGTGTATCACATATGTATCATATTTGTATCTATTGTGTATCACATGTATATCCATGTATACCTGTGTGTGAGATACATGTTTGATACATGTGTCGCAGAAGACTTTTTTGAACTCGATTTAATTACGAATTTTGATACAAAATCAGTCCAAATCACCTCCAATCTTCCTCAAATTTTGTATATTGACTTATCTATATATTTTCAATGAATTTCAACTATANNTTACCTCATCCATAAAATTTCCTTTCCGTCTTGTATCTAGTATTGTTAATCACGCTTAAAAATATGGAAGGTGATTTTTGCATATGATTCTTTGAGAGAAAGAACCCTATTATTTGGTTTTTCAATTTTTGTTGGCTAATTTTGATAAGTCTATGATTAATGACTAGGGATTAATAAGTTAAGATTTATTTAGGATATTTGTGTAAGTTTCCCAAAATTGTTTACCCAAATGAAAAAAAATTTGGCTCATTCATAATGGTCCTACATAGGCCTAAGTTATTAGGATCAGCTATCGCCACGTGGTTTATTCCAAGTTGAGTTGACCTATAAAAGGTCAAAATCATCAATCTTTTTACCACAAGAGATTGCAAAGTGGGAAAAGATATAGAAGTTACCTATGCTTATCAATTCTTTATTACTCCACAAGAAATCACCTTAGGGTGGTTTGGCACATGATAAAAATTTAGGGGCTTTTTCACTTTTAGCCCCGCCATAAGTTATTATATTCGATAGCTGGAAAAATATATAAAATTTGTATAATAATATAATATACAGAATGTATATATATACAAAAAAAATATTTTTTTTTACTTTACTTTGAGAATAGCTATACAGTATTATTTTCCCAAAAATTTATCAGTTGTTGGTGTTTATACCAAAAATGAAGAAATATATATAGGAGGAACAATTTACATCAACCAAACAAATAAATAAATACAACATCCATAAGAAGATCAGAAGAAAACTGAATCTGCACCCAAATTAAACTCCAAGTGATCATTTTCCAATGGCGTCAAGTTCAAATCCAAGCACAAAACTCTCTTCGATTTCTTAACAACTTGAGGAATACGTAAAGGATCTTGAATTTTTTCATTATTCATTACAGCTCTATGTCTTCTCATATGCCCTCCTAAAGCTTGTCCTAAACCAAACTCAAGCCCACAAATGGAACACTCATGTGTTTTAGGTTTAATATTAGGCAACTGAAATAATTGCATGTTATTCAATTCTCTCATATTGATCAATCTTGGCTTCTTGTGACTTGCCCTATGGCCACCTAATGCTTGAAAAGATGAAAATTTACGATTACAAGTCTTGCACTCGAAAACTCGATTAGTTGTTGAGTTGTTGTACTTCATAATATTGTCAAAATGATAATCATTTGATTGGTTTGAGAATAACATCAAGAAATTTGCCATTGTTGTTACGCTATGGAAATTTTCCTCTTCTTCTTCTTCTCTTTCTCTCTTTGTTGGTATAAGCACCATGTTCTCTTGAAATGTTACACTTTTTTTATTGTACGATATGAGAGGAATGAAATTGAGGATTTTTATGGGGTTAGTTATTTATAGGGTTTTGTAGTTGGGAAGTTTGACGTTGATTAGTTGACCTTTCTTGTAATGACGACATATTGTAGTTAACACGAAACTAAATGGGAACTCAAAAAAAAAAATTATCATCTCCGTAATAATAGACTTTTTCTGCTTAATATTTCTTTGGTACAAATCTAAGTGATGACTGACTAATTTTATGACTTGAGACTATTGACTATATTTCTTAGAGATATGTAAAATATTAATAATATATACATATTATAAAAATACAGTTATTCTAAACCGATTAATTCTAAATTCTAAAAATTTGTCATCGGTGGGTGCTGATTATATTCAAAGAAGCACACTGCTATCTGCAGTTCGCGGAACCACAACTTCCATCAAAGGGTGTCAAAATATAAAAAATTAGTTATACACCGAAAAGTCAAGGGTAGACAACACATAGTAAATATACATAAAATAAAAAATTTATGTAGCAATTATCAAGAGCATTAGAATGAATTGGTTAGTTAAGAAACTAATTGAGGGACCTAAGTGTAGACAAAAGAACTTTAAGGGTCACATTGTTAGAGGGGTGTGAAGGTCACGTGATTCTGTTATATAGAACAGTGCCCTTCCTCAATTCAGTTGTATCATTTTCCTTTTACTGAAGCTAAAAATATTCTCTCTACTCTCCATCTCTTCTCCCCATTTCTCTTTCTAGATTTTATCATACACAACCCTAGATTCATTTTGCATGTTATGAAGCTTGATTCATAGAGTGTAGATTCAACAAATTGACATGGTATCAGAGCAGCGATTATTGTAATTGCGTAGATTGGAGTACTTAAATTGCAGAACTTAGAGCTCGATCATGGCAACAGATAGATCGCACAACTACCACACAATCACCACTGTTTCTTCGAGATTCAGATGCACCTGGAACCAGTGACGGACCAAGAATTTTGTGCAAGCGGGTTCAATCGGAGAAGTCCATAACTAACATAAGCGGTATAAGCCGTATAAGCGGGTTGAAAAGTAATTTCTATACAAAATTTACCTTGCTTTAGCCATAATTTATACATATATACAGTATTATTTTTTGACGAAGCAGGTTCAGTTGAACCCACTTCTCACCACTTGGGTCTGCCCCTGCCTGGAACAATATTGATCTCGTTAAAGCTCACAGGGCCAAAAAATTATGCCCTGTGGAGCAGAGCAATGAGGGTTGCACTGTTAGTGCAGAACAAGTTAGATTTTGTGGACGGTACATGTGTAAAAGGATCGTACAAAGGAGAATTGGAGATACAGTGGGAAAGATGCAATGATGTTGTGGTTTCGTGGTTAGGTAGAACTGTAGCTAGTGAATTGGTGCCTAACATCATGTATGCTTCTAGTGCAAAGAAGGTATGGGATGAGTTTAAAGAGAGATTTGATAAGGATAATTTGACCAGTATCTATCAACTTTGGGTTGAGATTGCAAGTCTGAAGCAAGGAACTGAGTCGGTTGCCTCATATTTCTCTAAAATGAAATATCTATGGGATGAATTGGACATTTTGGCACCATTGCCCTCTTGTGACTGTGAAGAATCGAGGCCCTATATGGAACATCTAGTGAGACAAAGATTGTTGCAGTTCCTTATGGGTCACAATGAGAGCAACAGTCAAGTGAGAAGCAATGTACTGCAGAGAAAGCTAGTTTTATCAGTAAATCAAGCTTATGCAGTAACTGTGCAGGAGGAGAGTCAAAGAGAACTAGGTGTTGTGGAACCAAACAAGGAACCACTGACAATGCTTGCATGAAGAGGTCAGATGTTCAAAGGCAAGAAACCAAGGCTGATTTGTGAGCACTGTGGTTATAAAGGTCACCTGAAAGAGAACTGCTACAAAATAATCGGCTATCTTCCAAATTTCAAAAGTAAGAAGAAAGGGCAACTAGGTACATATAAACCTTTTGCTAATAATGCTAACATAGATGCAGGTATTGAAACTAAAAATCAACCACAAGGAAACTATCTCACAAAATAACAATACAAACATTTGGTAAACTTGTTGGAGAAGACTTCTCTAGCAGAAAGGAGTGCAAGATCATCAGAGTTAACAGGATCCTCAAACATGGCAGGTGTTATGTCATTGATGTCTAATATATGTATCCAATTTATATGTATATGATTGGATAATAGACTCAGGAGCATCACATCACATAACCTTCTGCAAAAATGTATTGGATTTTATTAGACCTATAGAGGGACAAAATAGTTATGGAGTGCAAACATCTACATGAGATAGGTCTGAAATCACACATGCTGGAAATGCTACAATCTTAGAGAATCAGAAAATTAAGAATGTCTTATATGTGCCAAACTTTAAGTTCATCCTGCTCTCAATGTCCAAGTTGACTAAGGATCTATGCTGCTATGCATGTTTTTCCCTGATTTTTGTGTGTTTCAGGGACTATATAGTGGCAGGGTGTTGTGGATTAGTAAAGAGGATAGTGGACTCTACATACTTAGTAGAGGAGTTGTTGCTGCTGCTGGTTAAGGAAGGGGTGACAACTACACTGTGACATTAAAGGCTAGGACATGCCTCTACACATGCTATGCAACATTTGCCAGACTTGAAGAATAAAGTGAAGCTAGAGATGCAAAAGGACTATCAAATTTTCCCTCTAGCTAAACAAAGTAGACTAAAATTTCCCATCACTAATAGTAGTTCAAGTTGTGTGTTTCAATTAGTGCATGCTGATGTATGGGGCCCTTACAAGGTACCAACCTATGATAGAAAATAATATTTTGTCACTTTGGTTAATGACTATAATAGGTATACTTGGACTTGTTTGCTGAAATCAAAATGTGAAGTCTTTGTTGTATTGAAAGATTTTCTTTCCTTGATCAAAAATCAGTTTGGTACAATGGTTAAGACATTAAGGACAGACAATGGAACAAAAATTTTCAACAATTAGTGTAATGAGTTGTTAGTTCACTTGGGATTGTTCACCAAAGCAGTTGTCCATATACTCCACAACAGAATGGAGTAATGGAAAAGAAGCACAGGCACATCATTGATGTGGCTAGAGCACTTAAGATTCAAAGTTATATGCCAATCAGATTCTCGGGGAGAGTGCATTAGGACAACAGTATACCTAATCAACAAAATACCTACAGAGGTCTTAAATAAAAGAGCTCCTTATGAATTGCTATATGGTAAACAACCAAGTATAGATCATTTGAGAGTATTTGGTTCTTTGTGCTATGCAAGTACCCTCCCTAGAGGAGATAAGTTTGCTCCTAGAGCAAGAAGGGCAGTAATGATAAGGTACTCAGAGAAACAAAAGGGGTAAAAAAATATTTGATTTAGAGTCTAACATTTTCTTTGTCAGCTAGGATATAAACTTTAGAGAAGATGTCTTTCCTTTTCAAGGTAAAGAAGCATGTCAGGAGGATTTGTTCACTCTTGTTCCAGTAGACATGAATACTAGTGCATCAAGAACAAATGTTGATGATGTTCTTGTTGCAACTCTGGAAGACTTGCAATGGAAGTATGAATACAGAGGCAATCCCTGCCATTCTCCCTCAACCAAGCTAAACAGCAACAGACTCATCAGATACAGACTTGGATGAGTCAGCAAGAGCAAATGTATATATGCCAAATGCATTAGAAGATGTTGTAGTTGAACCTCCAGCAGTTATGAAGAAAACTGAAGCAAATTACAAGAGCAGCAAGCAACACCTCAACAATTACAGTCATTTGAACCTGTTGATAATACAGAAGCTCCCACTATTAGGAAATCTACCAGAGGCACAAAACCAATAATTTGGCTCAAAGATTATGTTACTAGCTGGAAGTCATGCTATCCCATCTCTCATTATGTCAACTACACATATTTTCCACAACACTACCAAGCCTCTACAGATTTTTCTGCCCTTACAGAACCAAAAACTTTCTATGAAGCCTCTACAAATGAGAGACGGATTAAAGCTATGCAAGAAGAAATTCAGGCACTTGAAGCCAACATGACCTGGGAGATAGTAGAGTTACCACCAGGAAAGAAGGCAATTGACTCAAAGTGGGTATACAAAATCAAATACAAGGCAAATGGTGAGATTGACAGGTTCAAGCCACGCTTGGTAGCTAAGGGTTATACACAATAGATAGGTCTTGACTACTATGAGACTTTTTCACCTGTTGCAAAAATAGTCACAGTGAGGACTGTGATTAGCCTTGCAGCCTCTAAGGGGTGAAAGTTATTCCAAATGGATGTAAACAATGCATTTCTGCAGGGTGATCTTTGTGAGGAGGTGTATATGACTTTACCACAAGGATTCAGTAGGTAGGGGGAGTGTCAGGTTTGCAGGTTACTTAAGTCTCTTTATGGACTCAAGCAAGAATCAAGGCAGTGGAATATAAAGCTGACTACTGTTCTTACTAAGGCAGGATACCTACAAAGTGCCTATGATCATTCCTTGTTTACAAAGAAGTCAGGATCATACTTAGTAATCATCCTAGTATATGTGGATGACTTGATGATTACTGGGAGCAGCAGTGATATGATTGATGAAGTTAAAAGGACCTTACATAAGTCCTTCAAGTTGAAAGACTTAGGAGAGTTAAGATATTTTTTAGGATTTGAAATCATGAGGTCACACAAAGGCATCTTACTGAATCAATGAAAGTATGCATTAGAGATTATATCAGAATTGGGACTCAGTGGTGCTAAACCTACAAGTTCACCCCTTGAGCAAAATTAAAAGCTTACTATTATTGACTATGATAAGCATGTAGGACTCAAAGGAGATGAGGAGCTAACAGATATTGGAGGCTATCAGAAGTTGATTGGAAAGTTGATCTATTTGACTATAACCAGACCTGATATCTACTTTGCAATGCAGGTCCTAAGTCAACTTATGCAACATCCAAAGCAATCACACTTAGAGGAAGCTATGAGAGTGGTGAAATATATAAAAAGAGCACCAT